AGGATGGTACAGGCCTGTAATGCCAGTAATCAGGAGGCTGAGGCAGGAGGATTGGTATGAGTCTAGGCCAACCTGAGATACCTAGTGAGAACTTTGCTCAAAACAAGAAAAGCTAAATTTTAGTCCATGTTTATCATGTTATGTGGTTCCTGTGATCTGTGAGTCAGACAACAGGAAGCATCTCTGTGTGTGTGTGCTTCTGGATTAGAGTCTCCTTGAGGTTCCTTTATACTGCTGGCCTTTGCTTTACTTATCTAAAACTGGGATTGGGATTAGAGCTTCTGCTTCCAAGATCATTTTCAAAGCAATTTACCAGAGAGCTCTAGTTTCCTATTGTGTTCACGTCTCCCTGTGGTTGACTGGGGGTCCTCACTATGTGTCTGATGGCGTGGCCCAAACTGACTGTTGGAAGGCAGAAGGCAAGGAAGAAGGCTCGTGTCACACATGGCCTGTCACCACAAGTCCTAGGTCACCATTTCTGCCTTATTCCATCAAAAAAAAAAAAAAAAAAAACATGAAATCCAGGCTGCATTCAGAGGGAGAGGAGTTAAGTTCTACTTCCTGGCAGTAACAATAGCAAAGAATCTTGAAAACACCCCTGACCTTGGGCTTTCAGAATTTGTAGAAACATCAAATAATTCCTTTATTTTGATCTGGGTATTGTCAGATATGCTCTATTTTATTCAAATTAAAAATCTCCAAGTTCTTTTCAGTTTATTTTCTATATGGTATTTAAAGTAAAACTGGGAAATCCTGTGATTATAATTTATAAAATTATTTAATTAAAAATGAGTGAAAGATATGTAGAAACCTGTTTTCTCAGATTTTGGAAAAATCGCTCTGAATTTCAGTGAAGCACAAATTTCATTTACTATTCATTGTTCACTAAGTCTCTGTGAGTCTGAAAGCTGGCATAAACTTGTATATACTAGCTACTGTATAGCACAATTATTTCTTTCCTTCCTGGTTGTGCAATTTTATCATTACTGAAGGAAATTTTCTTTTTAAGCATTTATAACTGCAATCAGTGATAATTTTGTGGATATTAGTGAGATTTCTGAGTTTGACATTTTTATTGCACTTTTCATGACTATAATATTCACCCTCAACAGGAAGCAGTTAAACCGACCCCCTTATTCCATTCTCAAAAATAAAGGGTGGATGTTCTGAAAGGAGGTGAAGCCTGAACACAAGGCCAGAGCTAACTAGGAAACTTTAAAAGTTTCCTCCCATGCATCTCTTTCATTAAGCCAATTATATTTTAAATCCCTGAACTGCTAAATGTATTTTGATATATCTAGTTAGTTTGTTGCCAATAAAGGTTCTAGTATTCTTCTTGTATTTATTTTATTATTTTATGGCTAATGATATATGAGATTCTATAGCTAATGAAATGTGAGATAATTGTGTATATATGTATATATATATATAGAAAGAGAGAGAGACAGACAAAGTATCTAATTATTTTTAAGCATTTATTACAGTAAAATTTATAGTGACATCAATCCCTTTCAAAACATTTACCTTCACTTTTAACATGCTTATCCCTGCCATAAGAGGATATGAAATCCTCCTCTATGTCTTAAGATGCAAGGCCATGCCTGCTTCAGTGGCCGGAATTCACTCAAAGTGTTTAATTTTCAAGGGCAGTTTGACTTTGGCAAAGAGCCAGAATCTACACAAGGCCAGATCTAGTGATGATGTGGATGAGGACACACAGGCTATAATGTTTTCATTGGCCTCCTCCCCTGGATGACCTTTGGCAACAGCATTCCCTGAGTATTTGATCACATCTCTCATAAAGACGTTAACAAAGATTTCAGATGTTGCTTCAGAAAGCATCAGGAATGATAAGGTGAGTGTGCTCAAAGTGAGGGTAAATATTTTGAGGAGAATTAATGGTCATATTTCTGTTACTATAAAATGTTTTTTTAAATTTAAATATTCACATGTATTTGATACCCATTCATACATAACCATTCACACATTAAAATTTTTTTCAATGTTTGATTACCATGGAGACTTCATGTTATAGAAAATTTACAATGCTAACATGATATAGACATGATTTCATACAAACTTTCTTGCATTTTGTTGACTCAGAGAATGTATTTTGCTAAAATGGACTTGATTCATTTTTGAAGCTGTACTCATAGGATAGAGCATTCATTTCCTACACAGAAGAGTATTAATAGTATTCATATTAACAGAAATAAACCTTAAGCCTTAAGTATTTCACTAAGGTTATGAATTTCATAATATCATATGTGTACTATACAAAATGGTCAATAAAAATTCAAAGACTTTCCTTAAAATTATTATGACTGAATTTTAAAATGTTTTCTCTAATTTTTTATTTATTTATATCATCCACTAGTTTGGATTGATTTCATAAAATACTAGAATTCAATTTTTAACAACACAATGAGAATTACTATTCAACCATTTTAAAGCACTTAATCTATGTTTGTTCATATTCAGTGATTTAACATATGTAAAAAAGCACATAAAACAAAATTTCCATGTCAATTTGGCAAGGTTGAATAACATAAAATAATATTTTAAAAATATTTCATAGGATGTATAGGGCAATTATAAATGAACTCCTTTGGCCACCTGTAACATATAAGCTGTGATGTGTAAGTGTATTTGTGTATGTAGCTTTTAGACACACACAATGAGAAGAACATCAACATAAAGCTGTAAAAACAGCACAAGAATTAAAAAAAAAAAAAAACGCACAGGAAAAAAAAAGGAAAGAAAATCGAAGATTAATTTTTACAAAGTGATTGCTTTCGTACAAATTGGTTTTTCATCTAGAAAAACAGTTAAGAAAAACTCCAATTCTAAAAAATAAGTTGAAAAAGACTATTAATAAAAGCGATAGCACGGGGCTGGGGATTTAGCTCAGCGGCATAAGCACCTGCCTTGCAAGCAGGCGGTCGTGAGTTCGATCCCTGGTACCGAGAAAAAAAAAAAAAAATGAAAAAGACAAAAAAAAAAAAAAATAAAAAAATAAAAGCGATAGCACAACAATTTGCAAAAAATCTACAACACAGAAAGCCACAGAAATGCCTGATGGAATGGCATCAGATGCCTAGAAATGTCTAACTAAGGAAAGGTAGAGAGTACTCATGGATCAAATGAAGTGAAATAAGATTTTAATTTTAAGATATGCATGAAAAGTTTTTAAAAAGTACATGTATGCGTATTTTAAGTAATTCTAATAACAGTGCAATATAGGCAGATATACTGAATATACATATTTTATCATTATAAAAATTGACAGAGACCATTTTATGATTGGTTAATACAATTTCATTTTCCCTCTCAAAATGAAGAGGAAGATTCATTATCTTAAGTAATAATTTGAACATCTAAACATTTTTTACTTCATTCATATTTTGTACTGATCAGAAATCAGAAGTGTTATGGTTTAGGTCTAGATGTCCCCCAAAGCCTCAGGCAGTCATAAGCGGGGCTTTTCAGATGTGGCTGGATCTAGAATGTGTGATGCTGGAATTAAGTGAGTGATGTTAGCTTTCGGGGTGTGATTTCTAAATTAGTCTACTCACTGGTTTGGCATGATTCTGGGTGTGAGTGCTACCCACCCTAAGGACATGTACACTAGACAAAATGTAAGGGACAGAATAAAGGCTGCTTTCACCACTTGCTGCTTCATTCCCTTGCTGTCTTCCACCTACCAAAAACTGTTCCTTTTCTGCCATGTTACCCTGCCTTGGAGTCAGCCAACTAGGAACTGAAACCTTTAGAAACTGTGAGTTACAACAAACCTTTCTTCGTTTGACTTTGAGTGTCAAGGGTTTGGTCTCAGCAACAAGGAAAGTAAGACAAAAGGCAACACAACACATATCTTTGTTTTGTCTAGTAACTAATTTTCAAATATTTCTTCATTACAATCTGCTTATAAATGAATATGCTGATTCATTCCAAGAATAAAAAATTTACATTAAATCTAAGAAATGATGAGACTCAAATGATTGTAGAATGTGGAATTCATATAAAGACCTAATTTATTACTATTAGAATTAAAATTAAAAAAGATATTACATTTGATCTCTCATAAACAATATGACTTTTTAAAAATTATAAGAATATTTGAAATTGCAAATATTGAGTCAGTTTTCTCACTTTCTGTAACAAACTATAGCACTGTGATTCTGTGGAATATTTAATCTTCATGTGTTTGGCTAACATGAAATTTACTTGAAAGCTCACTGCTCTCAAAATAAAAAATACAGATATCTCACCAAAGATGTGATATGTGAGATATCTCTATCTCACATATCTCATATCTTGTCAACAATTTGAACTATATTTTTAAATTATAAGTTTCAACTCAAAAATTAATTTTGGTACCAATGCAATATAGATTTTTTTGTTCTTTGGGAAACCACACATCACTCCTAGGTCCCTGTTCATCTTTTGCAGTTGCCTAGCACTTTTTTTTTCCAGAAGACCAAATATAAAGAATAAAAATGAGACTCAAATCAATGAAACTATACTCATTCCTATATATGGAGAAGAAGTGGAAGGATTATCATTTGAGGTAAACAATGCCATTCATTGATCAGATAGTCCTTGTTCACTTATGTTATGAATTATATATGTGTATCTTGCTATCTTTATTAACAAAGATGAACCACCTTGACTTTTTGTGGCGGATACACAAAGTCCTTACAGTTTACAGCAATGAGATAGAGCACAGAAAAGAACCGTAAATAATACAAGTCACAGTAAGCCAAGAATAAGTAAGGGTACGGGTTGAAAATGCCAACAGTACTAAGTCCTTGATTTAGATAATTTTATCAGTCTGTTTCTAAACTTAAAAAGAAAGAAATTGAATCTCATAAAAATGTGCAATTTGAATGTGCTTTTGATGATGCTAGAGTAGTAACTTTTGTAACCTTTTAACAGGTAGTAATTAATCAAACTCCAATCAATAAGAAATACCTTAGCTATAGGATCATCACACTTACCCATGATAGTTAATGCCGTAGCTTTTGTTAATTCTTCTTTCATTGACTCTATTACTTCCAAATTACCACCATCCAAGTTGCATCTATTTATGGTTCCATTTCCTGAACTGATCCAATAAAGCTTGTTTTCCACATAGTCTATTGATAGACCTGTAATTAAATTGTACAATTTAAAAATAATAGCAGTCACTTAAACTGCAATATTCACTTAGTATCACTGGATGAGAGAGGAGAAAATCAGTTGAAAGTTCAGAATTTTGTCTTAAAACATGAGATCTGATTAACAAGAAAACAGAGATACACTGTCATTACTGGCTAAGAAAATTATGTTTTTTAATATATATCTATGCTAATTATCAAAACTATGACATTGAAAGAAATGACAGCTGAATTTTGCAAAAAAGAAAAAAGAATAGTTAAGAAATCTTCGTTCTCAAGTGCACATATATCTAACTAATGGAATCCTCTGAAAAATCAGAACTTATTTTATAACAGTATTTATGAGGTAATATGAATGCCTCTAAAACCCATAACTACTTATAGAAAGGCATATGTGGACAGATATACCGACATACAAAGCAGCGGACTATTCCCTAACATCGCATTCAAAGAATAAAGTAAAAAAAAAACCACAAATAGTTCCTCTACTTAAAAAAAAATGATGAGGAAGGAAAAAAAAAATGTGAGGAAAAGAATATTGGAGAAAATAATGGAGTCAGGTACACAGAATTTCTCACCTATCTAAATAATTCTCAACTACAGTGAGTTTTGAGCCAAAGGGTATCACTGATTATTAGATGAGCTTTAATCAAGTAGAAATAATTCAAAAGGTATATACAACTTATCAGCTTTTTCCTGACTTATGGTATGCTCTGCTTTTAGTTGTCTGGAGAGTTCAGACCAAAAATCACAATTTTCCAAAATTAGACATTTCAGCGAAGTAGATTTCATATTTTTTGATGAAATATATGTGTGGTTGGCTTTAATTACTAAGGAAAAATAGTCAAATAAAAATGACCACATTCCTATTTTATGATGTGGTATCTTCAAGTTGAAAGTCAGTGTTTGATTATTTATAAGAGAATGTTTGGTTATTCTGCAAGAACTGAAACCAGCTTGGTGCTGCAAATCTTAATTTAGGCAACTTGATTTTCAGAACAAGCAAGTTACATTGCCTTCTGCTTAACTGTCTGTCTAAAGGATAGCAATAAAGAGCACTTTACTATAGATTAATGACACAAATTATCACATCAACATTTGTGTTGCCACGTTTTTTATCTAGAATTCCACGAACCAACACATTTTAAAATTCAGCTTATTCACGTCCATGGATACTCTAAATTGTATCTCTCAATCAAGCCAAACTACCTGAGAGCTGCATCTTTAAATTGTTGTATCTTTGTCTCTCCCTGGTTCTTTTGCTAAACTGAGCTTTGGCGTTGTGCCCTCAGTTTGAATGAACGATGATGCAAGATAGAGCCATAGGAAACCTTCTGTTACACTCCTAGAATATAGTGTTTGAAAGCAGTACATCATACAGTGTGACCTCTTTATCCGAGGACCCAAGGGAGAGATTTTTTTCAGGGCACTGTGCCAGAAAAAGCTGTATGTGGAAACATAAAATTTTAACTGATCACATCTCTCCCTTTGCTTTGGCTGCAAGGAAACTGGAATCAGATTTGTGTGACCCATCTCCAGTAACTGTAAAGGCATTATATTCGCACTATTAGCCTTAGCCCCGACTTTGATAGACTAATCTATTATTTTGTTTCATTTGGATTATTTAAATCAGTATTCTTGTCTATTCTTCCTTAGGGAATGCATTTGTTTAACTTTCCTCAATTCTTTTTTTTGGAAAGAGGATATGCCTTCAGACTGAATGTTCCTGACCCCAAATTAGCCTACAATGTCAGAACTTTCTCATTCACCAAATAACCTGCAGTTTCTCTACTCCAATGTACGTTGTATAATGTAGAAATATACAGAGCAGGAATGTTACAGAGTTTGAGTCACAGATCATTAGACTCTTGAAATCTTTGCCTTTGGAATGCGAGGGCACACAGGAAAGGTTCTGGGCCATACTTACTATGTTCCCTAACCATAAGAAGCTTGCAACACAGAGAATCAGGTAGAGACACTGAGTAAATGGATTGCTTACATGCATAACGAAAATTATAATTTCTTAAAGACATCTTCTCTAGTTAAGTTCTTTCTTTATTTTTTGTTTTTGTTTTATTCTATTTTGTTGTGGTGAAATGCAGATCTCACATATGGGGCCTTGCTCTTATTAACAAACCCTCTACAAACAAGCCACACCTCTAGACCTCCAAGTGAAGTTGAAATGTCCTCACAATGGAATTTTTTCATATTTTACTTACACCAAATACTATGACAGATAGGGAGAAACAGTAGTGATTCAATAGATCTACTATTTAAAATGGCTTAGATTTGTACATAAATTTTAAAATTGCATACAGAATGTCATAAGAAAAAAAGCATTCAAACTTCCCAAATTAATCTATACAGGCATATGATAATTGTTATCTATACCTTATACATATTTTTGTTTTTCTATATGTATGTATAATATCAAATATAACATTTAATACATATTCAATATACATATGCACACACACACACATATATATATTGAATATTCTTCATGCATATTGAATATAAATTGAATATTTTTGGGGGTATTTTTCTCAGGTTTCATAAAACAGAACTGCAACATTCTATAAATACTAGTATAAATGTAAAGATATTAGTAAATATGTTTTACATACATCAATGTAAGTATGTTTGGCCTTATTTAGCAAGTCTTTTAATATGTTTTGCATTGTAGTATCTGTTTACCTCATTATTAGCATACATTTAAGTACTTCTATTATAGAAGTATTAATAGATATACATTTATTAATTTCTGATTAAATCTGTTGTGTTTAAAAATAAATCACTAAAAAATAAACAACTGGTTGTTTAGTGAAATTAAAACTCAATGATGTTAGAATTCACAATCAATATCTATGAGAAAACAGGTTAAATGTCAGCAGACCTGTAAGATTGTCCTATAAGTGATGGAAAGAAAAATATCCATGTCTGCACTGTGGATACTTTGCTGGTTCATAGAGTTTAAAAACTTAATAACTTTAATAACTTAATAACTCAGAGATTCTGAAAGGTATAGAAACTTGCTATCGAAAATACGTTTACCCAAAAAATTGTTTTCAAAATTCTCCGTCTTGTATTGTATCTAAATAACGGTTATGTTTTGAATTCACTGAAATGAAGATTGTTTCAAAGTTCACCAGGATGGCATGATTAATTCTGGCGTGACTGCTTTAGAAATAGTAAACTTTGAGCTCTGATGTGGATTGTTATTGTATGAGAAGGTAGTGTGAGGCTAACTGCCCATTTACTATTTCTTTGTGTATTTTATTTTTATCAGTATGTGCTTGCAGTACATAATCATTACAGGGAGTTGGTACACATTATAGCTCGAAATAAACTTAAATTTGCATAAGATAAATGATAAATATGCTGAGACAATCCACAGATCCTCTGTTTCATCCCTAAATTGTGTGAGCACAAATCTAATGGGCCACTTTTTAATTACCTTATGTACCTGTCTCTGGCAGGCTTACCCTGGATGCATTCACTTCAACACCGTACTGTGATAAGAAAAAGAATCCCTGCTTCATGTTACAGTGTCTGGCACAGAGCAAACATTCAATAAATGAAAGTCATTTATTGTTAGTAGAAGATTTTTATTTCTAATATTCTCTTTTGAGTTAAAATACTATTTTAAAACTTGTAATCATGTTTTGGGGATCGATAAAATTAATAATTTTGAAAATATTATTAGAAATATATTATTTTTCATAATTTTATGTAGTATTTCTTAGTTATAAAACAAGCACATCAGATTTAGAAATGTTTGCTTTGTGAAAGGTGATAAAAGCTATGCTTCCTTGTGGGTAAAAATATCTGTAACTTATGAATCAAACAGAAGGCAAGTTATCAATAAAAGAATTATCAAAATTCAACAGTTTAAAACATTCAATTAGATAATGGGCTAATATGTGAGATGAAGAAAATATATGGATTGTAAATAAGGATACAAAAAGATATTCAACCTTCAAGGGAATTCAAATCAGAATTAAAATGGTTTACTACTTACATAATTGCCAGAAAGAGTAAAATAAGAAATAGTGAGAATAATAAATTATGACATACAGAAATATAGATCACTATCATATTAGTTCTTGGAGTATAAAATAATATAACCATTCTAAAAAATTATCAGTGAGTTTCTTATAAAGACTATTATTTTCATAGGATGTGGAAGTCGAATTCCTCAGAATGTTTTCCAAGTGAATGAAAGACACATTCACACAAAAACTTTTATACAAATGATTACAGTAATTTTATTTGTAATAGTCCAAAACTAGAATCATCCTGGATGTCCTTTAATGGTTAAAGGAGCTTAGTTAATAAACTCTGATATAATTGCATGACAGCATACTACAGAGCAATAATAAAGACGCAAACTTGGTCCACAGAAACAATTGCAATTATTCTCTAGGGAAATACATGGAGAGAAAAAAAGCTACTGTTAAAGGGTTACAATCTGTATAGTTCTAGTTATAAAACACTTAAACGTGATAACATTTCTGATTTAGTGAACAAACCCGGAGAAGAAGGGCATGAGGCAAAAAACAACATGAAAGTGCATTGTGGTGTCCAAATTACTCAGGATCTTGATGGAAATGGATTTAAAAACCTATATACATTGGGCACTTAATGTTATTAAACTGTGCAGATCTATATATGCCAACACACACATGAGTGAAGTAAAACGTGAAATCTGAGTAACACTAGTGGATGGTATTATAGTCAATAACTAGCTATGATACTACACTATAATTTTTCATAATGTTCTAGTTGGAGAAAATTGAATAAAGAAGATAATTGAGAATCTCTCTATTATTTTAATAAGTTCATTGAACTCTAAAATTATTTCAATAAATGTTTCACTTTTAGAAAGCACTTAAGTCAATCATAAATTGAGTAGATTGCCCTTATTTTAACTGACCTGAGTTTTTCCAGGAAATCATTTTTTTCAATTTATCCTGCCTTAAAAAATCATT